TGGAACTGATATTCACTTTCTTCTTCCACTTGCAGACGTAAATATAGATATTTAGGTTTTTCTTTGTTTTGCTTTCATATATAGGTGGATGTTAGTGAAGTGACAGAGATGGTTGCACAAGACTCGGAAAAGAAGGGACTGTACGAAGATGCCATCAAGCTTTATGATCTGGCCAAGGTAATTTAACTGAGTTTGACTAATACTATTCATAAGATAATTTGAAATTTTATAGTAACTAAAGCTTTGTGATAGATGTTATACTTTCTTTAATTAATTTATTTATTTATTATTTAACAGTATGTTTTAACCAACTTCCAAAGTAGGACATAAATAGAATCTTGTTTTATAGTGAGTTGATAATTGTATCATGATCAAAAGCTGGAGATAAAATCCATTAAAAAAATGCTTATAGTAATTATACATACTTTTTTCAGAACCATGACAAAGTTGTTGCACTTCTGAATCAGTTACTGAGCCAGGTTGTGTACCAACCAGAAGGAGGGGCTGGCAGCCAGCGTGTGCGTATACTGGAGCTAGCAACAGCTGTGGCCATCCGGTTCAAGACGCATGGTCACAACACCCTTCCAAACAATGCAGCAACACTCCACTTGCTTTTGGACTTGGCCACTTTCTTTGATTTTTATCACAAAGAAAGGTTCACAGATGCTTTGGAGGTGGGTTAGGTGGTGATGTGATCTTGGCCAGCTGTATTTAAAATTTTAACTTTATTTTTACATATAGACCATAAAAGGATGTTTAGAAATAAACTCAGATGTCATATCTGCACGTTTACCTCTCACTTTCACTTATTTTCTTTCATGTCATTGTGTCATTGCAGTAAGCATGTATGATTCTATACTTCCATAGATAACTGAAAAGTTATGATAGCAGGTCTGCCATCAAAGGAGCTACATATCCTTGCTACCCAGACTTTTGCCTTCCACATCCCACAGGTACTGAAGAAGTTGCGCATTATTGCCCTGAGTCGGGATGAAGTGGAGTCAAGGGTTGCTGGAGTGGCCTCACATGGAAGTGAGGTTCGTAGTGTTCTCCCACATGTACTTCTGGCTGCCATGACTACAACCCACAAACTGTATCAGATGCCATCACAGCAACAATCCCCGCAGATGTCTTTCAACGTGTCTGCAACAGCAGCTTCGCCAGCAACAAAGGTAGATAATAAGTTAAGGATAACAAAATTTGATAACACTAAATTAGGAATTAAAATTATATGTGAGTAATGTGTCTATGTATGAAAATTAAAATTAATCAGAAGTAAAATAATGTATAAGATATCTGTGAATGAAAGTTATGTTTTAATATGTGTCCAGGGTTGGATGTATGTATAGACAAAAATCCTTATACATTTTTTTATGTATCATCGGATACTAAGTAAGAAGTAATTTTGTTGATAATTTACCTTTTTTTCCCTTTCTTTCCAGCACCTGCAGGAACAGGCTCGTGCCATTGTCACCTTTGCAGGAATGATTCCCATGAGGTTACACTCTGAGATAAATGCTCGCTTGGTGCAGCTGGAAGCCCTTATCAACTGATTAGGCTGTGTTCCTGTGTTATACTTCTTTTAGGGATCAAAATATAGTGTCAGGGAAACTGAAACAAGGAAATGTGAGCAAATTATTGTTATTACTATTCCTGTTCCTGTTCCGATGATGATGATGATCCACAAGAGCTTATAATCTTTAAGGAGTCAGTTACTAGTCCTACTGTCTCAGTTAATTACTGTTTTCCTTCATTTTTGGAAAAAAAAAAAAAAAAAACTTGTATTTTTATGATATATTAATCATAAAGTCAATAAAAATAATAATATTAATATTAATAGCATTAAAAAAACATCCAAGGAATTAACCAAGTTGGCTCTGATGGCAAGAATACATGCCATGCCCATTGTAATAGTCATCTGTTGTCTTTACACATAAATGGCTCGACAAGTGTTAAGTCACCAAAGAGTCAGTTATTAGTCCTAGCCATCTCACCTGTTAACCCTTTTCCGGATTTTTGGAAAACTTCATTTGTATAATTTTATTGTCTTAAATGTTTTAATAATTTGTTAACAATTTGATAATCAAAATATCAGTAGGAATAATAACAGTATCAATATTAATCGTATTAGGAAGAAAAACACATTCTTCTCCTGATTCAAGGAATGGGAAAATCAGGTGCAGTCACTAGGGCCTACTGATAGCTTAACTGGTGACTGAGCACTTGTGGAGTCAAAAAAATGCAGTGCACAATACCAGTGGCCATAGGGTTATTAAGGTAAATTTTGTATTTATACATGCTACCTATACATTTTTGTTTTTTTGTCTTCATTTTATACAGATATACCTGTAATAATTTTGTGTCGTAGTTTTACAGTGAATTGTCTGTAAAAAAAAGATAAGGAAGAGTAATACTGTATAAAAAGTTTGTGAATATGATGCCAGTTTTATGATGAATTTACTCCAGTGTATGTGATTGGAAATAAAGACTTGAATGATGATTTTTATTATTTTAGTTATAAAATGTGTATATTTTTTCTCTTACTTTCTCCCATTTAACTGTCCATTTCAGTCACTTATAATCAGCTGGTGAAGTACCCAAAGGAAAGCTAAATTTAAACCTATTTAATTTACGAGTATCAAACAAGTTGTAAACAAAACGAGCAAGGAGATATACATTGTGAACACCTTTCTTCTTTAATTTTTCATCAAGGCATGTTCACAAAGGATGAGTTAGCTTGTTGAAGAGTTTTCCTTTCTGCTGCTAGTGAACATAAAGCCTGAGGGTAGATGACAAACAGATAGGAGTGTTGAAGCTTCATATCAGATAAGAAAAGCTTTTAGGTAGCAGAGAGGCCAGCTGCTTCATATCAGATAAGAAAAGCTCTTGGTAGCAAAGAGGCCAGGGTGTATCCTTGTCATCAAATGCATTTGAAATGGATACATTACCCATGAGATGGATATTTTTTAAAGCTATAAAAAATATTTATTTGCACGATATCTGTTTCGGTCTTAGGCTCAAATTATGGATTTTATTCAAACATGTGATTCATGGATGAAGAAAAATTTAGATATTTTTGTGAATACACAAAAGTTAAAAGAATTTGCCATGTATTACCAGAACTGATGAACGGATGATACTATGAAATGTAAATTCTGACGTAAACTGTTGGCAGGAAAGAGACCTACATGCTTATGTAGAAGTTTATCTATGAAGCAACAAAAACACAGCTTATAAACCTAATTTATTTCATAAATTACAAGTATTCCAAGGGTCATTATAAACACACACTATTTTACATAAAATCAAACACTTTGCTGCTGTAGAACTTTGAATCATTATCCATGTCGAAAGAAGTCAAGAGGAAGCAGAAACAATGCCAAACCATCCCAAAGGCTCAGCAAATTGGCCCACTGAAACCTGTATAAGTGCAGTAAGCGGAAGCAGAGACAGTTAAACCTCTGTTGTATGAGGTGGTCGTGACAGTATAAGTTGTGGTGGTGCTTTTCCAGACTGTCAGGAACTTAGGGTTGTCTCCAAGATCGGCTGTTTCTTTCTCAGGTGTCAGTTCCTCGGTAACAGAGCTGTCAAGTGTAGCCTTGTTGAGAAGCTTATCAAAGTCACCACTGGTGCTTTTCATGCGGCGAAGTTTTCTCCCTTGGCATGCATTAGTGTTACCTGTACGTAGAGAATTGTTATGATATATAACAGCAATATTATAAGCAAGTGATGGGAATGAGAATTATTAAAAGCACAACCTCCCCATTCCCTTGCCCATTGTTGTCACGAGGGGGCTTAGGAGACCGAGATTGAAGCTCAATTTTGGGGATCTCCCCAACCAACCCTTGAATCAACTAATTTTCTTCTCCTAGTATCCTTTCCCTGTCCAATTCCTAAAGTGTAAGATCTGTACTGAAAGTATGAAAGGCGGACTTTGTGCCTCCCTGAATGGTCTCAGGGAGTCATGGTCATGGTATATCCTTGGTTAATTGTCTCGCTCTTACCCCTCACCCCTGAGGGATGGACTTTTTATCTTCCCCATGTATTTCAGGTTTACCATGACCAGTAATGAAGATTTTGTGTCCTTATTAGCAGGATTGAGTCTTGCCTCTTTATCAAATAGCCTCTCTGAATGAAACTCCTATAGTTTACCAACCCCAGACTTTCCTTTCCACAGATCTGACCATTGCTACTACACCCCCTGGTTGACACATGCTGTCAACTTGACCCATCCAAATCATCTACCCAGGTTATAACTCAACCTTCAAAAGATACCCCTTCCTCACTCCCAATATCCTCCAACCCTCCTCCTGCACAATTGTCTTCATTTTCTACTTCTTCCTCTCTTATTACAACTCTTCAACCTTATTGCCCTTATCCCTACAGCACTATCTCACTCCACACCACTCTCTCCTTCATCCGTCCTCGCCCCTCTACAATTCCCACTTCTACAAACCATTTGAGTACCCTATTTGACCCAGCCAAATGGGAAAGTTTTTTGTGATTCCTCCAACAGCCCCTTACTACAATAATAAAGCACTATCTACCCTGGCCCTCCCAAATCGTCGTTGCCGTGGGGGGGGGGGAGGGGGTTTAAAGGCAGAGACTGAGGTTCAATGTAGAAATCACCCCTGCCTTGGAACTCAGTCCTTGCCTCAACAAATTTTGCATGGTCGTTTCTCCTCCTTTCCTTTTCCTTTTCCTTTTCTTCTTCATCCCCTTATTGTGTCCACTTATCACAATCATTAACTCATTTTTGCCCTTTTTGCCATAATACTTTATCATAATGCTCCCTACTCCCTTAACTTCTTCCCCTTCTAACAACCTTTACCTTGTACTATACCCCATCAGCTCCACCTCTCTACCCTTTCCACTACTATACTACCCTCTAGTACTGCTTAACATGTAACTTTATTCTAATCATGAACTCATTCCCAACCCTTTTCGCTACTATACTTTACCATATAGCACTTTGTCATATAGCACTTTGGGGGTGAGGCTTTGTTCCCAAGCCTCACGCTATTGCTATATTTTGAATACACTGCTAATGACCTTAGATGTTTGACATGGCAGAAAATTTTCAATAAATAAATAATATATACCCTGTTTGACCACAGTGGCAAATCTATTCCCAACCCCACTCCTCCCTTAATACATGTACAGGAACTGTTTCCATCTCCCTGGCTGATGACCCCATCTATGGCAAATATTGGTCAGACTGTGAAGACGACCTACTTACCTGCCTTGCTGACAATGATACAGTATCAGTACAGTGCTACACTATTCCCCCCATCGGCTGTCGTTAGTTCCACTTCAATATTGCCAAGATTACCTTCCGTAGACATGACCTTCCCCATAAGGTTTATATAGGAGGAAAATCTTGCACTGTTACTATATCAACCCCCACCCCGCCAGTTTCAGAAATGCTGGTGTTTTGGCCACCCTGCAAAGCACTGTCTATCCACAGCCCGCTGCCCTCTTTGTGCCTAACCTGGTCGTGACCGTTGACACTGCCCTGCACAATCACATATATGTGCTAATTGCGGTGACTCCCATAGTGTATTTTATAGGTACTACCCTCCCAACAAGTTTGAGGTCTGAGGCAGAGAAGAGGCACGCCAACGAGTTTTTTCAATCACTCCCCACTCCAATACCATACTTCACTCCTCTCCCCTCTACCCAAGTAGTCTCTACATCTTCCTCAGGACCACTTCCCACTACTTCTCAACTTCCTCAATCTCTCAGTCAAAGTTTTTTTCCATTCTAAATCCAGATACTCCAATATCCGCAACTCCCCCTCGAAGTATCTATCGCACCAGACAATTCCAACATTCCATTCATCTTCTCCAAACACATCCGTTCCCCCATCTACATCCTCTACTCCTCAGATGCCTATATTCTTTTCACCTCCTCATAATTTTTTTTCCCAAACGTCCCCACTCAAATCCCTTCCAGAAACCCTTTAAGACATTAGAAACCTCCTAAGTAAGACTCAAGAGAAAGTTCCTCTCTCATCCATCCTCCAGTTTATCTAACCCCATTTCGGCTACATTCAAACTGACCACCGACTTCCATCCTCCTCCTCCTCATATTCCCCATGGTGAACCTCCAGATACTACACCTTCATTTTCTTCCTCTGATCCCTTACCTCAATCCCTAGGTACTCAGACATCCATCTTTACCGTTATCACCCGCTGATTGATCCACAATGACTCTACCACTCCTTCCTGGATAATTTGTATCCTGGATACAAATTACTTTTTTCTAAATGTCCTTCCTCGGATTCCACCTTCTCTGATGAACGTTTTGGTACTACACTTTCACCCTCTTCCTCTGATCCCCTACCTCAATCCCCAGGTACTCCACCTCCTACTTCTCAGACATCCATTTCTACCGTTATTACCTGTTGATTGATCCAGTGACTCTCCTACTTTTCTCCTCTTCCCATTGATTTTAATGCCTTCGGAACTTTACTTTCTTAACTTCATCTACCATTCCTTATAATGGGCGATTTCAACTGTTTCCACACTCTGGGTTGACTCTACCACTACTTCTTAGGACGTTACCTAGAACGGTTTATTTCTAACACTGACTTTATCCTTCTCTACTCGATAGCTCCACCCATTTCGAAATGCGCACTCAAACCTTTTCATGCCTTGACATCACGCTGGTGCTGAGATAGAGCAGACTGGCATACTTTTACCCTTCTCTCTACTCTACCTCTTCATCTATCTTCCATCTCTCCCACATGAGACGTGCTTTCCTATTTCGCAATCACTATCCTAAGTTCTGCCTTCGCAGCCATTCCACAAACTTCCCGGCCACACGCATCAAAATGTATTCCAAGGTGGAACAATGAATGCTCCAAAGCACTTCGATTGGAGAAGTTATCGCTATAAGCGAAATACCCCAGCCAAACATTAGCCTCTATGTATTTTTAAACAACATCAGCTCAACTACGCTGCATAATCCAAAGATCAATTAAAACCAGCTGCCAAAAGTACGTCTACACAGTTCCCTCCTCTGTACCTATTTCCATAATATAGCGTAGAATCGGGGAAACCCCCCTTATCCTACCCGAGCCCTCCACATCCGTAACACTCTCATTTCTGAACCTTTACAAGTTACTACTAAACTTGCTGCATACTTCAGCCAGGTCAGTAGTAGCTCTCACATTTCTTCCCAATTCCATCCCATTAAAACAGCCAAGAAACACTCCCGTCTCCTCCTTATCCTTTACAAAACCCTACAATGCCCCTTTCTCCTCTATTGAGCTCCATTCTGCTTTAGTCATGCCGCAATACACATGAAGGCCCTGCCGGCATTCATTACCGTAAGCTACGGCATCTTCTATCTATCTCCTTAGACTTCCTACTGGCAATCTTTGATAATATTTGGACGACTTGAAACGTTCCTCCTCACTGCCTCGAAGCTCTTATTCTACCTTTCCTTAAACTTAATAAATCTGGCACCCTCCCTCAAGACTATCGGCTCATTGCT